TTTATGTTCCGGTTTTATTTTAATTTACCGTGCGATTGAACGAGCCCGAAATATCGTAAGTATCGAACCGAATAAGTCCGGCTCGTGAGCCACGAACCCACACCCGAGCCGAGCATTACCCATAACCGCTCTCTCTTCACTATTTTTCAAATGGCCAAGAAATTAAGACAATTAAATTTCTCATTAATCTTAGGATTATGACCATTATTTTCCAAGCCGTTGATAACGTAAATCTCTTCACCTTTAAAAACGTTTTCTTTCTTCTTCTTGATTCCCCTCTCTCGATTTCGGCAACCACATCAGAAAACGCAGGCCATCTTCATCACCATAATTCGATCGCCACCTTCAATCATCACTATCTTAATCCGCGAGCCCGACGTTGTTGTTCCCGATCGTGAGCAGTCCATCACCCTGTCAAGAAGTTGCAGCGGGTCCGCTGCGGTGGCATCATCACCCTCCTTATTCGGGAGTGCCAAACATAGCCGTTGAGTTCCGTCAGAGCGCATGAACGATCCGTTGAGTCCGTTTAGCCCCGTTTCAATCCGTTCGAGTGACCCCATCCCGAGAACGGTACAAGGCTGTGAATACTCTCGTTAATTGTTATTCGGGATAATATTGTTTGTTTACTCGCATTCGCGTTGAATCGTTTCATTAGGTTTCGAAATCGGTTTAATTGTCGTTTCGTATGTTCGTTATTTATTTTGTATTTTCGTGAAATTCATGGATTATCGGAACTCTCGTTTATCGTAGTAATTGAGTCTCGTTGCCGCTGTTATGAATTCGTGATTTCGGTGTCTCGAACCATCGTCTTGTTGTTTGGCATCGTTCGTATCTCCGTCGTTTGTTTTGTATTATTTTTGTCGTTTCGTTGTCAAACCTTTTTAAACCGGTTTCAAAATATATTTTCAAAACTCTGAAAATGTATTATTTTTATAAGTCTCGATCCCGGTTGCTGTTGGATATGAAGTCGTCGAATTTGGTTAAATTTGTCCCAGCTCTTTTTGCTTGATTGCAGCCTCTATTCCCACTTTTATTTGTTTAGTTGCAGGTTTTCTGTTTAAATTCAGTAAATTAGAATTGTTAAAATTAAAACAACAAGGCATGTGGTGCAGTGGTTCACGCACTCATCTCCCTGTTGGAGGTCTGGGGTTCGAATCTACCCCTTGTCATAGCCACATTTCTTTTTCTTTTCTACTTCCCAGCAGAGCGGGCTTTCCAGCCCGCGAGCCCGCGCATTAGGCCCGCCGCGGCCCATTTCTGGCAGCAGCTCCAGCCTGCGAGCCCGAGCCCTTCCCCTTAGCTAGCAGGCCATGTGTTGGGCCCTTAGCTCGGCCCAAATAGCTGAATCTTTGGCAGCTTCGACCCAATTAGCTTTTAACCAATTATTCTGTATTCGGGAAGCCCGTTTTTAGTACCGATTTCAATTTTAAAAATATTTACAAAATGATATAAATTAGGGACAAATTATTTTAAGTCCTGACACTCCATTTTTGTTCCCCGAGTCTTTTCTTTTAAAATTTTGGGAGTTCCAAGTCCACGAAAAATCCTATTTAAAACCCTTAAACCTTAATTTTGATTAAGTGTGAGTTTTAAATTAAATTTGAGAAGTGAGATAGATTATTGATAAACTATCTCGTTTAATTGTAGGTGTTTGAGGAGTCGAGCCCTCGACCTACTTTCCTGCTAGTTTAGTGAGATATTCTTCTGCGATTTTCAGGTGGGTTTTAAAAAATTGGCTATGCTGTAAATATTAATATTGTTATTATTGTTTTGCTTGTAGTATGATCAAAGTATGCATGTGGAACATGTATCCTTCGATGGGAGCTGTAACGGCCGTCGAACGGTTATCCCCGTAACAATAGAACGACCCCAATGGGGTAATCTCCTCTTTATGTCCTTGCGAAGGACACGTCGCTTAAGACCAGGGCTGTGCTCGGTTAGCGATAAGTACCCCGATGTAAGTCCGATGGCGAGGCCGGGCCTTCGGGGGAGACTCCTACTGGCTGGACACTCGTTGTAAGACCAGAAGGCCGAGGGCCGTGGCTTTCGATATATAGTCGGCAGTAGTCTATTGATATAGGTGTGCACATGAGAACGAACTTGGGATAGGAGGTTGGGATAACTAATTATTTACGTATACATGCTGAGACCATACTTTTGATTATTGATCATTGTTTATTATTGAGATTAACATTTATTGCATAGTGGTGATCACTACTATTCTATTTGTGCTCATCCCCACCTGCTCTTCATGGATGCAGGTTAGTATTGCGGGCACGACGGAGGGAGGCGAGTGGTGGTCATATATCTGATATTGCTTCCGCTTATTTGAAATGTTATAATGAGTATCGACATAGTGTTAGGGAGTGAACTCCCTAGTATTTATGATTTTGAGGAACCCAGTTTAGGGAATTGATGTTATTTATGAACCCGGTTTGGGTGTTTGCATGATTATTGAACCCGTTTGGGAGTTACATTATTGATATTACTGGAAATTGTTTTGGAAATGAGTAGCGCCGCCATGTGTTTTGAAATAAATTTTGAAAAATTTATTCTGATTTTCGTTAAATAAAAGTGGGGCGTTACAGTTTGGTATCAGAGCCAGTCTGCGTTTTTGTAGACTGGTCTTAGTATTGATTATGTGATTATGTGCTTTGACCTTGTGATATGACCACTCGCTCTCGTCGTGCCGCGCTAGCTCAGGTATGAGTACTTGAATAATTTTGAGATTATTATATATGATTTGATTATTGATGTGATGAATTGGGGCTTAGGAACTATCCACCTTGATTTAATCAAACTCTAGTGTTTAATGGCGAACTCTAGACTTCGGTGATCATGATTTTCTTTGTTGTTTTGTGCTAAGCTTTGTTGGGCTTATTCAATGTAGAGCTATGAATACCCGCAACAACCGTAACCGTCAGCCATCCCCGTCTCCTTCTCCGCCTCGTCATCATCACCAGGCCCCTCCGGCCATGGACCTTACACAGCTTGTAATATCCCATTCAGTTAAGTATCAGTTTATCTTCAAAATCGAGATATTTTGAGGGTAACTAAGTTAAGAAATTGAAGTTTTTAAGTCACACGGGTCGTGTGACTCAAAGTATCATTCAAATTAAGTTTCGACCTTGTCACACGAGTCGTGTGACCAAGTCACACGAGTCGTGTGAGCTCACACGAGTCGTTTGACTTGTCACACGGGTCGTGTGACCGACAGAAATGATCAGATTGTCATTAATGCAATTTTTGGTGGCAACTAAAGTTATTTTTTAGCATTAAATTAAGAAAATCTGAGGTGTAAATGTTAGGTAATGATATATTTAAATTGATTAATTTTTACAAGTTTAAATTATTTAATTTGTTAATTTCTACACTTCAAATAAATTATTCCAAAATTTTGGCAATAAATAGGGCCTTTAGAATCTGAAATTTTCACACCAAAAATATTTCCAAGTTATATAAGTGCTTAAGGAGTAATAATTATAGTAGAGTGATAATTATAGTGGAGGGAGGAAATTTTGAAGTGGAAGGAAGAAATTTTCAAGAGCAAGTCCTTGAAGGAGGTAATTCACTTATGTGAAAATTCATGCTCATATTAAGTTCATGGTCATCTTGATTTCATGTTAAATAAGTTGTTAGTATGCATGTTTAAGTGTTATGATTGTTATGTTGAGTTCAAGTTATTATATGCTTTAATGATATAAGGATTATTTAGTAAGATTTTTGATAGAATTGAGATTTTGATATAATTTGAAGATAGTATGCAAATTGATATTATGATATTAAGATGAGAAATGATTAAGTGGTATATATGATTTATTTCATGTTAAAATTTTTAAGAGTCATGAGATATTTATGATGAGTAAGTTGATAAAAGTATAAAATGTTAGAACACTCATGATAATTGATATACAATTTTATAAATTGTTTAAGTTTTGGTGTTATGATTTAAAATTGAGTCTTATGAATATCAATTAAGACAAGTTTAGTAAGTTATAATTCATGAGGATGATGTTGGTAAAGGATAAGTATATTTGAGTTATGTATAATTTGATGCCAACATCTAAGTGTTATCAAGTATGATTAATATGAGTTATGGCATTGAATAAAAGTTGAAAAGATTTAAAGTTATTCAATGAAATAATTTGAGATATAGCATGTTTATGATTCAGTTAAGTTATAAGTTAACAGTTAAAGTTAAGAATCTCAGTATCTTATTGAGTATTCGAGCATAGTACTTAGTATATTTGTTTATATTTTTATGAAGCGTTACAAGTCGGCTACGAGAACAACACTTACAAACAATTTTTCAAGAAGAAAGGTGGGGACCCAGACTGGGTATTACATTGAGTATAATAGCTATTATCATGTTCGAGGTATGTATAAAGTGAAGTAAAGTATTAAGCTCGCCCAGTCAACACTGGGTTCTGTGGAGGCGACCCCCAGAATGTGATCACGTGAGAACCGCCCAAGTTACCGGTAGTTGCAAAGTTCAAGTTAAAGTATCGGTTAGATACCGGAAGATTAAGCTTAGATACATACCAAAGATCATGATATTGATATTATTATTGTTGTTAACTTTAGTATGGGTTTTCACGGAGTACAGTTGATTAGTACTCACGCCCCACTATTATCATTTTTTTTCAGGAAATAAAGACGGTGCGCAGGTGTGAGGAGCTGTGGTGGTCGTGGATGTGAATAAGTTTCTATTGAGAATTTTCAATAAGGTTTCGGTTTGTAAACCACGCTTGTAAGATTTCCGCTACGTTTCTTTAAGATTTGAAAAAGTGTGATTTTAAGTGTGATTTTAAAGGTTGATTTATCAAGTTGATTGTATGAACTGTTAAGTTTTTATATTTGTTCAATGTTTAAGATTTGTTTTATTTATGTCTAATTTAGTTGTTAGATGAAGTTTAAGTAAACAGATTTTTAAAGTAGATAAGTTAGTAGCATCCCGAGTTAAGAAGGCTTCGAAAAATTTATAAGTATTTTCGAAATAAGTTGCCGAAAATTTACTCTGATAAGCGGGGTGTTACAGTTGGTATCAGAGCCAAAGTTCAAATGCTCTGTATACTACAAGATTAAGTTTTGGAAAGAAAGTTTCAAGAATAACCGACCACACCACACTCACACCTCGCCAATTATCAGGTAAGTGTTGTTAAAATTTTCTTTATTATGAATTTTAAATATATGCAAATTACTAAGTCTATGCTCGATAAGATATCCGAATTTTATGAATCAGATTATATGCTCAACATATATATAAGTATATATATATTTTCTTAGTGTATTAAAAATTTATCTTTTACGATAAATTTTAGATGGCACCCCAAGCTCGAAAAGAGATGACAACATCAGAAGTCGTTACTCAATTTCGTGGATACAATCCTGAGAAATTCTCAGGACAAGGAGATCCTCGTCTAGTGGAGGAGTGGATTCAGGGTCTCGAAACTATTTTTGAGATCACTGAATGCACAGAAAGGCAGCATATTATTTGTGCTCAACTGCAAATGACCGGAGATGCTCGGCTATGGTGGAACTCCTACTGGGGCATGCGTCCTGGGGAGAAAGAAAATCTAACTTGGATGCAATTCAAGGAGATGATGGAAGAGAAATACTATCCAACTCACTATCGGGTTGAGATGGAACGTCAATTCTTGGCATTATCCCAAGGAAATCGTACAGTTGATGAGTATGAGAGAGAGTTTACTAGATTGGGATCTTTTGTCAAATATCTGGTGGACACAGAGGCTAAAAAGGCAAGACGATTCCAAGATGGGTTACAACAAGAAATCCGTCATCATGTAGCTGGTCACTGTATTCAGACTTATGCTGATATAGTGGCCAAGGCTCAAGAAGTAGACGCAAGTTTCCGGAGGGGCGATGGCCAAATTCAGGTGCAACCAATTGCTCAAATTCCAGCTCAACCACCAGTGCAGCCCACGCCTGTCCAGCAGGCTAAAGATAAGAACAAGAGGAAGTGGAAAGGTCCCCAGAATAATAACAAGCAGAAGCAGCAAGCTAATCGACCACAATTTCCAGCTTGTGGCAAATGTGGGCGTAGTCATCCAGGAGAATGTTTAGCAGGGCAGAATATTTGCTTTTTCTGTAGGAAGCCTGGTCATAATCTCAAGGAATGTCCAGATAGGCAACAACAGAGGAATCAGGGGCAGCCTCAGCAGCAGAGGGCAGGACCTCAAGCTCAAGTGTATGCTGTGGAGCAAGTTCAGGCAGAACAGAACCCAGGTACTATGTCTGGGATGATTATTCTGAACGATATTCCTATTTTTGCATTGTTTGATACGGGAGCGACGCATTCGTTCGTGTCAAAACGATGTATAGAAATCATAAGAGCTAAATTCATTAACACTGTTGACCCTCTTGAGGTAAGCTTAGCCTCGGGACGGAAAATAGTGACGAGTTCTAAGGCAGATAACCTTAGACTCAATATTGGAGGAAGAATCTTGGAGGTCGGCGCGTACGTCATCGAGATGAGGGATTTTGACCTCATACTCGGTATGGATTGGCTAACACGTTACCGTGCTGATATTCGTTGTCATGACCGACAGGTAATTCTTTATCTTTCGGAGGAGGATCAAATTTCTTTCTATGGCTCGAAGACGCGAACGTTACCTTGGGTGATTTCTATGGCGAAGGCAAGGAAGATTATAAGACGGAAGGATTGCCAAGGATATTTGGTGAGCATTGTTGACGAAAATTCGAGAGCACAAACACCTCATGATGTTCCAATTGTTCGTGAGTTTGTGGATGTGTTCCCGGACCAACTACCAGGAAGACCACCCAACAGGCAAGTGGAGTTCACAATCTATCTTGTTCCTGGAGCAGCGCCTGTGTCGAAGGCACCATATCGGATGGCACCAAGAGAATTCCAAGAGTTAAAAACTCAAATTCAAGAGTTGTTGAAACTTGGTTTCATTAGACCAAGTGTTTCGCCTTGGGGAGCACCTGTATTGTTTGTCAAGAAGAAGGATGGTTCCATGAGGATGTGTATCGATTATCGGGATTTAAACCGGTTAACGATAAAGAATAAATATCCGCTCCCAAGGATAGATGATTTGTCTGATCAGTTGAGAGGAGCTTGCGTATTTTCAAAGATAGATTTACGCTCAGGCTATCATCAACTAAAGATTAAGGAATCTGACATAGCTAAAATTGTGTTTGGGACAAGATACGGTCACTACGAGTTTGTGGTGATGCCGTTTGGGGTACGTAATGCACCAGCGGTATTCATGGATTTGATGAACCGTGTATGCCACAAGTATTTAGATCAATTTGTCATCGTCTTTATTGATGATATTTTGGTCTATTCCAAGAGTCAAGAAGAGCATGAACAACATCTGAGGCTAGTTCTTGGTACCCTTAGAAAGGAGAAGTTGTATGCCAAATTCTCTAAGTGTGAGTTTTGGCTGAAGAAAGTGGCATTCTTAGGCCATATTATCACTGAGAAAGGTATAGAAGTGGATCCAGCAAAGATTGCTGCAATTCAGAATTGGTCAGTACCGAAGAATCCATCAGAAGTTCGAAGTTTTCTCGGATTAGCAGGTTATTATCGTAGATTTATCG